GGCTGGATGAAGTGCCAGGAGCCTTCGTTTCCCGTCCCGTCCAGAGTGACTCGCATGGCGTTCTTCTCCAGCAGAGCCGGCAGCCGTTTGTTCACCGTCAGGTATTTATTACTCTTCATGTGGAGCAGCTGCAGACACATGTACATCATTGCACCGTATGTCACGTAGACAGCATTTAAAATATGTCACTAGGGCATTATATAACAAATGCCCCCCCAATATAGTGAGCAGCTGTTTTCGGGAAGAACAGAGCCCATGTTGTTTTTTTGTTTTTGTTCTTATTTTGCTCTCGATTACACCTGAAAGGTTTTTAAAAGCTTTCTGGGGTGTTTGTGACTCAGCAACTGTTCTGGAAAGAAGATCTTTACTTTGTCTTTTTTTTTAACATACTGTGAAAAAGTGAACACAAATCAAAAAAACCTCACAGATTTTTTGCTGCTCTGGTATTTAAAAGAGACACTACTGTACATTTGATTACATTTGAAGGAAAACACTGACTTCTTCACTTCTTCATTAGGATTAGATCAGTGTAACTAAAATTACTTTTATGTTTAAGAAAGAGTTTTGTACATTTGTTGTTTTTGTTTTGTTTGTTTGTAGTTCACTAACACCGAGTTAGTCATCAACCTAGAAACTCACTGCACTCGTGGTGTCACAGACTGCAGATCTGAAGACAAATAAACAACAGAAATGATTGGAGTGAATTTTTGCTTCTGTGTTGTTTAGTTAATAAACTTAATAGACACACTTTTTATTTTTCATTTCATGGCTGAATGTTTTTAAACCTGTGAAAAAGTATCTTCACTAATCTTTTGCTCTTCAGGTTAGTGACACAGTCATACGTTCTACACCTTAAAAACAAACACACACACACACACACACACACACACACACATTGGGTGTGGTATCGTCTGACTGAATCTTATTCAGATTGTTCTGTGGGAAATGTGTGTGTGTGTGTGTGTGTGTGTGTGTGTGTGTGTGTGAGAGAGAGAAAGAGAGAGAGAAAGAGAGCGAGGGAGAGAGTAATGACAAGAGGTCTTCAACCTTGAAAGGAGGTTAATATTGACACTAACAGATAACAGCATGTACATACTCACTAAAGCAGTGCTGCTGTGTGTGTGTGTGTGTGTGTGTGTGTGTGTGTAAATGATCATACAAACACCAGCAGGGTCGATTACAGCTATAAAAAGGGGAGCGGAGGCGTGTGAATCACCTGGTTATCATGGCAACTGATGTCGCCCTGCTAGCAAAGAGCAGCCGTCACAGTGCAGACACTGGTTGGCTTCAGAGCAGGAAGTCCTGATAGACAATGCAACTCTGCAGGCGTGTTCTTATATGCAGACGTGTTCAGACGTGTAGCCTGTGAGTGCCGTCTAACGTCACCACAGTGAGATTTAAAAACACATCTGCACTGACCTGGAACTTTGATTCTTTTGAACTTTTAAATGTGCAGTAAGTTGGATTTTGGCCTCTGCTGGGTGGTGGGAAAAATTGTTATAGATAATGTGTTAAGATTTCTTTAAACTGCAGCTGCTGCACACAAAGGACAATAACATTACATTACAGACACACCATCTGTTAGATTGTTTGTTATGTGCTTATTTTTATTGTAATTCTTTCCCTACAAGGGATGAAAAACCCTTTATTACAAAATATGTGTGAAAATGAATTTCAAGCATGGATACTGGCAAATGTCTTTTATTTTATTAGTATCAATATTCAGCCGATGTGGTGCGTTTAGCTAAACTGAAAAGGGATAAAAACACCGAACGGAAAAGAAATAACATAACACGTTAACTCAATCAGACCAACTGATAGACAAAGTAGCAAAAGAGTTTTTAGCAATGTGTTAAATAAAATTTAAATTCATGACTGGGCCATCAGAGATGTTCTGGGAGGGAAGCAAACTGTTGGCGAACTTAGAAGCTACCACTGAAAGTTTTTGCTATAACAATCTTATGATGGTGTTCAGTCATTGGCTAAAATCTCACTTTTCCATTTTTCCAGTGTCAGTTAAATGTCACTTCTCTCTCACCAACCATCTGAAATTGAAGAAAACAGCAGTATGACCTACTAACAGGGGGCTCTTAGGAGCGCCGTGAAAACGAGGTCATGCACACTTCCTGTTAACAATACTGCGAGTGGGCACGGGCCCGTATGGCAGCATTATTACTTTCAACAAAGAGTTTATGTGGCTGGTTGGTTACCGGTCTTTATGACAAAAAGGGCAAATCTATCTGACATTCTGTGTCATGCGCTCACTCAAAATAAGAAAAATAAAAAGTTCAGATATTCTTCTGGATCAAGGGATTTATATCATGCATGTTGCAAAGGGAATTTTCAGCATTGGTGAATCCATTTTTTAAAAATCATGGTTGGGCCTCCCTAATGAAGGGAAACCTAAGATTCGCTCTCTTTGATTGAGCCATTAGGGTTTCTTTCAAGTTACAAGAACTCGAACAATAACTAAAACATTTTCCAGCTTTTGTTATTTCCACTGCACTTCAACCTAAAGTTCCATAAAGCTGAGGCTAGTTGACACATCAAGACTCCTTTTTGAGTCATATCTAAATACAAGAGCATAAAATGAGGGGATCGACGTGCAAAAAAGAAAGCTTGCAGTTGTTTCTACATTTTTGTGCCCATATCAGTCAAGCTGCTGTCAGGTCGTGTCAGACAACGACATCTTTATGGTAGTCCTCGTCATTGAACATTCCTGTCTCAAATAGCTGAAAAGTTTATGTAAAAAGTGCAAAAGGAAATGTGTGAACTTCACTGACACAGCATGTGCTCATAGAAGGAAGTTTAGTGGGCAAAGTAAATACATCCAGAGGGCGCATGATGTTGACTGACAGTCTGATATGTTTCGTCTTTGGGTTGGTTGCAATGAAAAAACATCAACAGTGAAAAGAAATCGATGAGTCAGATGCAGGTAAAGGAAACAAGTGCAAACGTTGTTTACCTTCAGTCATGAGCGAATCATGAGGCAACATGATTCTGGGCTCCTTGCATCCTTCCTTGAAAGGCCTGCTACAGTCTTTCCCTGTGCCATTTCCTTCTTTATTGATTACATATTTCTATGTGGCAGTTTTCTCTCTTGTCTTTTTTAAATCATTTTGGTGTTTGGGCATATGTTTCTGGCCTTTTTTTGCCACCTTTGTTTTGTGGTTTTGCATTTCTCTGTGGAGGGTTTCCTCCTGGAGTCATTTAGTCAAAATACATATAAATGAACTGGATGACTCCATTAACCAATGAAAATGAGAACAAGCAGTGTATTGGAGAATATCTGCTTATTCATGAAAGACTGTGAGCGATCAATCATACTAAATGTTCATAATTGTCTGTGTTTGGTCTATAATCACATAAATAGTCTACAAATCTTTGCTCCACTTCATTTGAATGAGAAATAATTCGTTTACCTGTATGACAGTTCCATATTTGACCACGTCTCCATGGACTTTCTTGTTTTCTGTCTCGTTCTGCTTCTGCTCCAGATTTGATGCATGCTGCAACAGACACAGTTCAATCCAATTAAACACAGCTCAATCTAATTAAACGTCTGCCAATGAGCCCTCTCTCAGGCTGATGTATGATTTGACAAATAACAAACCACCAACAGCAAGTCTGTAGTCATATTTCTCTGTTGATGTGCATTGGTGCCCAAGAATATCTAAGATATGTTTCGCTTCGCACAAAAACTGAGGGATTTAGTAATGATGTCCTCGTAGGTTAGCTAGCCTAGCTTCATCCATGCGCTCATGCTTCTGCTGAAATGTGTGTGTTACCTGTAGTTTTTGTAGCAGAACCACATCACCAATCTTGTCCTTCTCATGTTTGGCTTGTTTTGCTTTCCAGAACTGCTTCTGAGCCGAGTACCGACTCATAGGACAAACCTTAAACAGGCAGTCTGCAAGATGAAGAAGAACAAGAAGAAGGCACTTTCTTTGTTATTACATCACAAGACCGCCTGCAGAATGGGATGGAATTATATATAGAGATGCACCGTATAGTCAACACACATAACAAAAAAACGTAATGTCATATTTAAGCAGGAATATCTGATGGATTGTGAATCAGTACTGAAAATAATGTAAACTAATCCTTATGCTGGGTGCTGCCTGTTTATGGGCTTAAAATGGCCACAAAGCTAAAACAACATGAGGTATTTCCCAATGATTAATTTTAGGACCCAAAATGTTTTAGGAAGATTGACTTTGAGTCTTTAATATATACAAGATATGCTCAGAATGAAAGGGTTTGGGGTCAACTCAAACTCAGCCCCCTGCACATGCACTGCCTGCCCACCAGGGGAGAGCTTCACTTCTTACTGTCTATATGTCACTACTATTTACCAGTTTCACCAAGATGCTGGTCTCAATCTGTGTTATGCTGATGACTTTTTTTAAAACATTTGGTTATTATTTTTTAGGAAATATTTAAGCAGAGTAATAAGTGACTTCCTTTGATGTAAAATGGCCTGTATTTGTATAGTGCTTCACACATCCAGTCATCCACCCACTCACACACTGGTGATGGTAAGCTACGTTGTAGCCACAGCCACCCTGGGGCGCACTGACAGAGGTGAGGCTGCCGGACATTGACGTCACCACCAGTAGGAAACGGGTGAAGTGTCTTGCCCAAGGACACAACGACCGAGACTGTCCAAGCCGGGGCTCGAACCAGCAACCTTCCGATTAGAAGGCGAACTCCCAACTCTTGAGCCACGATCGCCCCGGTATATCATAAAACCCTGAAGATCATCATTATTAAATCCCAAAGGATTTAATAACATAGCGAGATAAAATCTGATGGACATTTGTCTTGTTTTATGATATGTAAGGGTTAATAAAAATATTGAAAAGGTTAATCAGTAACAAAAATATTATGTTTCCTTTTGGCAGGCTTCCAGAAATCGACCAATCATGCTGCTATTTAAACACAAGCCAAAAAGAATTGAGTGATAAGTGACTTCAAGCCACTTGTTTGTGTGCTATGGAAGCGGAAGCGGCAGACATTTGTGCACAATGAAAATGTGAGGCATCGCCATGGCTGTTAGGATTCATCATGTGGGCACGATGAATGAGTGCAGAGAAGACAGACAGACTTTGTTTAATTAGACAAGATAAATAAGCAATTAAAAGAATGCTGGAGAGAGCAGCATTCAGTAAAACTAATACAGTTGGAGCGAAGTGATGCAAGAGCACAAAAGACGGGCAAATATTGACTCTCCTCCAGCAGATCCTGTATGTTTTCACGCTGTTCCAACTGTGTGTTTGTACAGCAAACAGAATTTGCCTGTGTGTAATTGCTCTGTGTAACATTACTAGGATATGAATGTTGTAAAAATCAGCTTAACGTAGAGTGCTAAGCTTTGAAACAACCATAGAGAAATCATATAGTATTTAATCAAATCAAATCAAATCAAATCAAATCACTTTTATTGTCACATCGCATGTGCAGGCACACTGGCACAGCACATGCGAGTGAAATTCTTGTGTGCGTGTAATTAATTAGGGTGTAATTGAAGGAACAATGATGACTTTTGGACGGCCGTTGATTTTTTTAGTTGATATAAAAATTGGGTTAAAAACATTTGGAGAAACAGCTTCAACGTTTATATTTATTTGATCTAATAATTCAAATGATATTCATTATTATATATTATCATTACTGTGTTCTTACTTCAAATAATGCATGTTTTTCTTAATAAATTAATGCATTTACCCACCATTGTTGTGTTCCTGCACCTTTAACAGTGCGTCCACACTACTTTGTGCCTTACTGGCTTTTATGAACTTTCTCATACATTTTTTAGAGTGTTTGACATAGTTTTTATGTGTCAGAGCTGCTAACAGTGTGACCTACTTAAATAAATAATAAATACATTTTTATTTATATAGCACCTTTCAAGACAGAGTCACAAAGTGCTGCACATAAGATTACAAGTCATAAAAAGATTTAAAAAGAGAAAATAAAACAGGCAAAAAATTAACCAAAAGCAGTTTTAAAAAGGTGAGTTTTGAGTTGTTTTTTAAAAACAGCTACTGAGTCCACAGTTCTTAATGTTTGGGGGAGAGAGTTCCACAGTCTCGGGGCCACAGTGGCAAAAGCTCTGTCACCCTAGTCCTCCTCTTAGTATTTTTTAAAGCAAGTAAGCCCTGATCAGATGACCTCAAAGACCTGCTAGGGGACATGGGCTGTAGCAGATCAAAGATGTAGGCGGTGCCAGTCCGTGCACAGCTCTGTAGGTCAAGACCAGGATCTTAAAATACTCTAAATTTAACAGGAAGCCAGTGTAACTGAGATAATAACGGTGTCACATGTGAGTACTTGGAGGATTTTGTCAAAAGCCTAGCTGCAGCGTTTTGCACAACCTGCAGACGATCCAGAGAACCTTTGCTTAGACACATAAACAGCGAATTACAATAATCCAAGCGTGACGAAATAAATGCATGTATAGCAATCTCAAGTTCAGAGCGAGATAAAATCGGGCTTAGCTTAGCCACATTTCTTAAATGATAAAAACAAGACCGAACCAGAGATTTCACATGCCCATCCAATGTGAGACTCGAGTCAAAGGTGACACCTAAATTCCTGATAGAGGATTTAACATAAAGTGAGAGAGGACCAAGGGCTTTCACTATCTGCGATAGAAACCTATCAGGGGCGCATACGAGGACTTCGGTTTTCCCCTCGTTGAGTTGGAGGAAATTTGCAGCCATCCAACGTTTGATCAAATCTAAGCAATCATTCAGACGCTGAAGCTTAGATAAATCCTGGGCATAAAAGAAACGTACAACTGAATATCATCAGCATAACAGTGATAAGAAATGTCCTCAAAAGAGCCCATTATATGCTGGAGGGGGAGAAGATAAATTAAATAACTAATGCCAAGATTGCCCAAATTTAAATAAAAAAGGAACATAGTTCATGAGGGCAAAGACTTATGATAAAGAGAGAGATTATTTATTTGTAAAATTAGTTTAAACAGTCAGCACAGTGAACTTCAGTCCATCAGTCTACCTGTCTATACACTGCTCTTCATGTCTTCTTTGTTTTGCTATCAGATGGTTTTGTTTTTCCATGTGGACTCTTGTCAGCCAGCAGTAATGCTGAGGAAATGTGTGAGATGTTTAAATGCAATTTAACAATTTCATAAGTTTGATCATCAGACACAGGAGCCGCTGTCTGTTCTGGATTTTAACTTTTTTTACTTTTTGCTGTCAGTCTCTGTTTGTGGTCCACTTATAAACTGGTTCAGCTGCTCAGTGAGAGCAGATGGTGAAGTAAGTTTATAAGAGAGAGAAACCATCAGAGAGCAGCTGGTGGAAAACTTCTCCTCCAATGGTCTCTGATGATCATAGCTGGACTAACATCACACGCACTCCATTTATATTTCATACAACACACTGGAGGTTTCATTCATCGTCATGAATCTGTTTATCACTTAAATAGAGCAGCAGACATTTATACCAAATTAAATAAATACCAGAATACCATTACTGATCCAAAACACAGCAACACAGCAACAGTCATTCTTACCCCTGAATTTCTTTGGGGGGTTGTCCAAATCTCCAGCAGCTGGCTCAACCACACATCGGTCATCTACCAACCTGCAGACAGACAAAGAACAGGAAACATGCCGTCAACAGTGGCGTCACTCAGAGGGAGAGCCCAACAACATCACAGCAAGTAAACATTACATACTTTTCTTATGCTTATTTCTAGCTCCATGTTATACAGCAATTATATACATGTAAAGCAATTAAAGTAGTTTTGTGTGATTCACAGTTCAGAAAAATCCTTTATCTTACACCAGGCTTCGATGAGCCCCTTCAGTTCATCCTTTGTCTGAAACAAGCACATTAACCTTTCTTACCATCCAGGTAAGACTAAATACCTGAGTTTTCACCAGATCCCACATAAAAAAAATCACCACGTATTAAGACATGACATTAAGTGGGACTCAAAAAGAAAAAAACAAAATAAAATCTCATGTTTTAGGCGCTCAGGTGCTCTGCTGATGAAAAATCACCCTTTAAAATTCATGTCAGGAACCTGATGACAAGGCAAAAAGTCTTAGACAGGCTTAGAGACCAGTCAGCAGCAGCCAGGTGACCGCTGCTTGTTATGGAAAAAATCCCCAAGAAAGTGAGTTTGATGTCTGTTGCTGTGAATTGCCCAAGTCGGTAGGGAAAAAACTATATTCTCTAACTGGTTAGCCCGGGGTGGCAGAAGGTTGCTGGCCATAAAGAGGCATGCAGTCCTGCACCAAAAACCTTCTTGTGATTGGTCACTAGAAGTTTGCCACAATCACCTGTACCCCCCTGCCATGGGAGGTGCCCACTCCCAAACACTCGCCTGCTTTCAGTTTCTGGCACTTTTTCCAGTTAATGAATACACATCCTTTTCTTTCCTGGTGACCAGAGGTTTCTGAGGGCGTCGCTGACCTGTGTGACTGAGGCTGTAGGTTTTTTTTGGGTTCAGAAGTATGCAGCTCTGTAGTTTGAAGGTTGTAGAGACAACATTGTAGAGAGTCACATGACCTAACAAGCTGAAATGACAGTCGGGTTGAAGAACAGTACTTTGGGGTTTTGTTGTAATGCTTTTACAATTTATATTTTTTTAAATAATTAATTACAAACAAACTTGGAGAAAATAATTAAAAATAATTATAATAATTGACTAACTATACGTGGCATTTACTTTGTATCTTAAAAATGTTAAAAAAAACAGTCCAGTACAATCCTGTTAACGAAACCTTAGAAGTACAATGGAACTAAATAAATGAAATAAATATAACACTTGTCAGTGAAGCTACGCAGAGATCAATGCCGATAAACTGATTTCCAGTGAAATCTGACAAAACAGCCGGTAGCGTTTGGTGACAGGTCACTGATTAAAGCTTCTTCTCCCACAGATGGTCTAATTTGGAAAGTTGTAAGTAGGGTGTGAAATATCTTGTTGATATGTTAAACAGCAGAAGCACAGTCATTTTAAGAGGTGACAGGAAGCAACACTCTGCAGTCTCGTGAAGACGTTTGTGGTAACTCTGCATCTATTTTTAGACAACTTTTCTCATTAAACGGGTTGGAGGTTTTCAACCAGTGCTGCCAAGACACAAGCTGTGAGCGGTGACTCTGCCCCCATCGGTACAGATTAAACTGATCGACAGCGTGTTCAGCTCAAAACATCTGAGAGCACTTTATAGCCCTGCATTGTTTTCTGTTAGTTTCCTGACATTAACCTAGAAATAATAGGCAGCTTAGATGATTTAGAACCAAACTGAAGAATAACAGACTGACCACGCTAACAGTCACACTTCTTATATGTGTCTACAGTGGTGTGAAACAGAAAGGTTTCATAGGAGTTCAGCAGTGCAGTCTTGTGAATAAGAACGATGATTCAGCGCTCAGCACCTTTAGCAAGAAGTTCTCTTTTTCTGTTTGACAGTCTCTCGTAGTGTTGTGGAAGAACTTTAATCCGCTCTCCTCTACAAAGATCTCTTGATGTTTGTGGGCAGTTGTTTAAACACAGCTCTCTTAAGGTTGAGGTCTGGACATCTGACTGGGCCACTGCAACACATTCATTCTTTTCATTTTCAGCTGCTGTGCTTGGGATCATTATTCTGCTTCATCACTCACTTTGTGCCAAGATTTAGCGTTTGGACAGATGCCTCACATTTAGAATATGTAGGAATACACAGGAGTGATTTTTAATTCTTAACTGCAATTTTCTAAAAAGCGGTAAGAATTAAAATACAAAAAATAAAAACAAAAGATTAACTTGCAGGTAAAGAAAAAAATACTAAATGAAAAGGAGTCTGCTTTCTCCTCCTCTCTGACGCTGTTGTTTCAGTTTCTTCAGTTGCACTTTCTGTATGTTTAAACAGTATGCTGATGGAGAATGGGCAAGCATGTTGGTTTAGATTAGCGTATGCACAGTGGTAAGAACAACATAGAATGGTGCTCCAACCGTAATTTTACCTGCACACTGTTTTTTGTGCAGTGTGAGAACATTTCTATACAAGTATTAGAGGATTCATTTGTTCCAGAGAAACAGGCCATATTTGTTCAGTCTTTTTCTAATTGTACTGAGATAAACTTTAACATGTAACGTGCTAATTCAGGTCCGTCCGTGTTTTATCTCTTGGGTTTTGTGTTATGTCTCTGAGCATTGCACTGTCTGATGTTGGAATACATTTGTGCGGAGAATATTGTGGCATTTTCTTAACACAGAAAACCGCTCTGGACTACTTCTGGTCAGTCATCATAAATATTCCTTTTGTATGTGTGAAACAACTATCAACCTGAACTAGCTGGTATTTATTTGTGCACCATAAAATTGAACTTCTACCACGTTTTGTTATGGTAGAAATGATGTCCCTTTATCTATTTTATTCACTTCACTTTTAAAATCTTTCTAACACACAGTGGAAGTGATTTAAGTTTTGGAATATAATAATAATAATAACAGTTACAGTAATCAATTCGAGAGATAATAAGATTATGGACGAGAATGGCAGTGGCATGAGGAGTGAGGAAGGGGCGGAGGCGTTACGGAGTTGAAAATATGCTGCACGTGTGACATTATTGATACTGTCGAGAATGACACCCAAGCTTTTCACAGAGGGAGAGATAGGAACAGACGAATTATTGATAGTTAGAGAAAAAATCATTAATTCTGGATAGCGATAGTTTAGTGCCAACCAGGAGAAATTGTGATTTATTGCTGTTGAGTTTAAGGAAGTTGGAGGAGAACCAGGAATTGAGTTCAGCCAAGCAGAAGAGTGGAGGAAGAGTAGAATCGGGTTTGGTAGAGAGGTAAAGCTGGGTGTCATCGGCATAGCGGTGGAACTGAATGTTATATTTACGAAAAATGTGTCCGAGCGAAAGAAAGTAAATGATGAAAAGCAGGGGCCTGAGGACAGATCCCTGAGGCACCCCAGTAGATAGAGGAGAAGGCTGAGAAGTGAAGGATTTTAATTGAATAAACTGAGTGCGGTCAGACAGGTATGATTTAAACCAGGCTAAGGGAGTATGAGAGAGGCCAATAGAAGCTAATCTGCTAAGAAGAATGGGGTGAGAGATGGTGTCAAAGGCTGCACTCAGATCAAGGAGAATAAGGATGGAGAGAGACCAGAATCAGCTGCCATAAGAAGGTCGTTTGTTATTTTTATAAGAGCAGTTTCGGTGCTATGCAGAGGACGGAAACCAGACTGGAACTGTTCGTAAAGGTTATTATCAGTGAGGTGTAGATGGACATGTGAAGCAACTATTTATGTAGCAACGATATTTATTTCATCTTTGTTTTCTTATTTAGGAGTGTTCGGCGCCTTCCTTTAGTTAACCGCTGTGACACACTCACTGGTTTGTGCAGGCACATTAAGAGGTGTTATTATAACAGTTTTCACCAGCTGATCTGAGTGAAAGCGAGGACACGGCACACACAGTGGCTAACATCTTGTGATTAACTTATGCCAAGTTAGCTAGTTCTCCTTTTGAACCCAAGCATTAGCATAATTTACTAAATAAACTTCATGTTCAAATGTTTTCTGGGGTGAAAGGAGCCGTTTTCCCATATAATGCAACACAGTCTATGGACTACGTCTGCAACCATAAAAGCTACTGGTGGCCATTAAAGATAAAGGATGTTTAAGGCACTTTTTAAACACTATGATTAGTAGCATTGTGATAGTGGAAGAACTAAAAGAAAATTAGTCCCAGTGAGGGGCTTCCACAGAGTCACAGCCATGATTAGATTACAGGTTCCTAAGGAAGTAAGTCCACAAACCCACAAAGAAAAAGTGGATCAGTTGGTCCTCAAAATGGACCAAGAGGTTTCCTCACTGAGAGACAGAAAAGAACTAGATCACAGATACATGGCTAAAGAAAGAATACAAGATGAAATACTTGGATAGGCTAGGACATGCAGAACAGGAAGAGAAGGGGGCTGCTAAAGAAACATTCGGAAGGAGTGGGGTGGGGGGTTATTTAAGCCTTGGGAGTTGTAGCTATGGAGCTGGAAACTTGCAGTGAATGGAGTTCACCCTATCCATTAAAAGGCAGCACTGATTTCTTCAGAGACATGCTCCACCCTCTGGTTTGCATGTTTGTGGTGAGGGATTCAAATTGCAACAAGATAATGAGCTTAAACGCACCACAATGTTAACATGTGCAGACCAAAGTGCAGGGCAACAATGTCAGCGCGTGCTGCCCATTAGTCTAGCGACATTTAACACTGTGTCTGTGTGTATTTGCTGCCAAAACAGGCCTGACTTATCGAGGCATCAACTCCACTAGATCCCTAAGGTGTGCTGTGTTACCTGTCACCAACATGTTAGCAACAGATCCTTTGAATCCTGTAAGTTGGGAGGTGGGGCATCCATGGACTGGACTTGTTTGTCCAGCGCATTCCACAGATGCTTATTTGGACTGATATCTGTAGAATATGGAGGACAAGTCAACACCTGAAATGCAGATTTTTCTTCCTCAAAGCATTCTGGAACCATGTTTGTTTTGTTGCAGTACGCATTGTCCCACTGAAAAACGCCACACCCACCAGGGAAGGCAAAAGGATGTGCGTGGTCTACAATACATTGGTAGAAGCTGCG